GCTGTTGTTCCTGCATTCAGACCCGCGATAGTATCGGCAGTCTTCAATCGAAGAAACCCATCGTGAACGGATGAGATGATCTAGTTGGTATGCTGTTCGTCCGTCGTTGGAGTACCACGTCAGAAGATGCGTGTTGGTAATAAACAATCCATTATAAGCGGCGAGGCTGAGTAGTCTATCACCATTCTCGCAGCGCTGACTCAGGCCAAACGTCCCCAGGATGTGCTTCGTCGCTTCCTCTTGCAGGCCAGTCCGAGCGTTCCAGTTCCCTGCTATGACAAGTACATCTCGTGTGGGTACTCCATTACCAAGCAATTGACGGCTGCCATAGAACTCATCCTTGATATTGTTGTCAGATGGGAGAGTCGGGGCGTAGACAGCAATTGCGAGGTTTACTGGATGACCCTTGAATCGTGCTACTGCAATCCTAGAGGATATTGGTATCCAGGAGAGTAAAACATCATTAACCCGATGGCTTAAAGCAAGTGCCACTCCATGTGGACCCGACGTTTCGTTGCCGCTGTGATAGAGCCAGTATTGGCTATCGATACCAGGGATCTTGATACTTTTGGAGTCGGAGCCCGCCAATCTGACTTCTGATACGCATGTAATATCCAGCTGATAGTTGTGCAGAGCACGTTAGTGCCTGACTCCCGGCATCTAAGTGCTTTCACGTTCCAGTTTCCAATGTAAGAAGTTTTGCATAGTTTAAGGGGACCAGTGCTCATCCTTGTCGCTCGAGCCACTGGAGGGGCACAGGGTTCGTCGCTTCCCGGGAACGCCGTAGCACGATTAGCAAGACATGTTGAGTGAATATCCATGAAATTCCTTGGGAGTTACGTACAGGAAACGTAGCCAAAGTAACCCGGCTTTGGGTGGAGGTGGTATCTATAGCCTTTGCACATCCAAGTGCTAACAGGAAGATAGATAGCGCATAGGTGACGGTGGCCCTCTGGGGATCTCATACGCCCTTAAAAGTTTCTAGCTGAACGAGTCCATGCTTCCCTGATGAGTACGGAGTCAATGCCTCGGCCGATGAGTGCACTTAGTCCGCCCAACACGTACGTTAGACACCGACTCCCGCTGTTGCATCCAAACAGCTTCGTGGAGCCACAGGTTTAGCTGAGCACCTGAGACCAAAGAACGGAGGGGGTCCCAAAGGAACCCACAGCCCTCGGAGTCAAAGGTGCCACTCTTACCGGGCACCCAATACTCCCTAGAATAGCTAACGCCGGTTTACTCAAAAGCTAGACTAACGCAAGGTACCTGACATTACATTGCATGACCGATGACATGAAAACAGAAATATCTCCAATCCCTTACCCTCCCCAATATAATGACCGTTTGGGATAACCAACGGCGTCACCTGTTTTCAGAGCACGATGGATGAGCTTATTCGACGTGAAGGGCTCAAAGGAACCTTTGTATTTGTAGACAACACTACTGCTTGTGTGAAAGAAATCACGGACAACAAAGTCAATCTGAAGAGGTTCCTGCAGGCAGCTGCCAACCATAGTTTAATTCTAAATCACAACAAGGGTGTATGCATCTCTGAAGTAGTTCAACTGCTGGGTTATG